CTGTTGAGGCTCTATGGAACATTAGTTTCCACAAAGGTCTTTTTTTTAGTTAATACATATGTATAAAAACAAGCTCTATTGTGGCACTCCAGATTTGTATGGTTGTATTAGAAAATTAACATTCTGGTTGTATTGGAAGATTATATATGCTGACATCCAGCATAGAACAGGTTACTACTGATTATGAGCAATAGCCTGTCCTCAGGAATCTAAGTCCTGCATGGCAGTAACAACAGAGGCTCAGGGAAATTACTCGCTATTGGGAAGTCCTGGGTATAAGGCTATCCTGTAAATAGAAACCCATTGCTCCTAATTCTGGGTTTATCCCACTGATGCTTGTTGCAGAGGAAACTCGTTTCTTTGCACCCACAGGCAACAGGTTATTAAAGCTGTGACATATCAGAAGTAAGATAAGTTCCACTTCCAAATGTTGTCCTTGAGGATAAAAGCTGTTGTGTTTCTACTGCAGGGCAGATGTCAGTGCAGTACAAGGCAAAACCATGACAGGGATGATAGACTGTGGAAGTTGTGGGACGCTTTTCAATGTCCTGCGGAACCCTACAAAACTTTTTTCAAACTCAGATGCCTGATAAAGCTAACACCCATATTAGGAAGGGACCTACTCCCTGCCACAGCTCTCCTGATGGCAACAGAATTACACCAGGAATGAATATGAATGAGGGTTTTTTTTTGTTTTAGTTCTAAGAAACTGGATTTACGCAATAAGCAAAGAGAGATTAGATGTTAGATTCCTCCTGAAACTCCTTCTGCTGGTTTGAAGACTGGCATTGCTCCAGAAAGCACAGCTGATGAAGGCAGTTTCTATAGTATGGATACTATAGAAATAAAAGCTTCTTTGAGACAATTCATCAGTGGGAGATAGCTTGTGTTTGCGAGGTACTCTCCTGATCTCACATAGCATATGTCTCTGTGGAGCTGAGAAAGGCTGTCAGGGTAGACCTCCTTTTCCAAAAGGCATGCTTGAGCCTGGCTTCCCAAGCAGATCTTTCTGTCATTCACAGACCCAGCCTTTCAAAGCCCTACAGCTTTTTATAAGAACAGAAAGAACAGCCAGTAATTCTAAGTTATCTTCAATAAAAGTGGTATTTTTTTCAGTCTCCTGGGTACTTTTTTCCTTTTACCATAAGCACATTCTGATGGCAAGGTCAGCCTGTAACCATGGTGGTGGTGCTGGGGTGGTTAAATGCCCTAGCAGCCTGATGCCACTAAATAAATAAATAAGTATATTACCTTTGACTTGAAATCTCCCTGTTGCTTCAGTCATGTCTAGTTGCAGCTTGACCAGTGCAGTCTCTACCCTCTGGGAAAAAATGTGTTTATAGCAAGGCAATGGGGACTTCTGGCCACTAGGTAATTTTAGCAGGCTGGTAAAAATGAAGATTTGTCTGCAATAGATGAAACTCAAGAATCGAACAAAAAGCTTGTCTAGTCATTTCAACTGTTAAAACAAAATCCAGAGGGCAGATGACTGCTCAAAAGTCTGGGCCTAATCTTCAACTAGAGTAAATCAGGATGGCATGACTATAATTATTAATGCTTACTGAAAGTCACTAGTACTAGATGAGGAACTTATTTGAAAAGTTCAGCTGACTTCCCACATGAATTATCTTTATTCTTGAACACTGGGCCAAATTCTGATGCTTTTAGTCATGTTCCAATAAAGGAAAATACTCATTCGAATAAATTCTTGCTTACATTTTATATGTTCCAAAAAAAAGGCCTACGGGAGGTTTAAATGAAGGCTCAGTGAGAAGAAGAGGACTTAATACTTCCTGAAACCAGGAAAGCCGGTTTCTCTCTCTGCCTGTGTGATACAGTTACAAAACAAAAGTAGTCCAAGCCTCAGAATTAAAGGCAGATCTGAATTTACCCATAACTGAGAAATTTGCAGCTCTACAAGTTTGAAGAAAACATTTTACAAAAGCAGGAAGCATTGGCAGAATTTGTATCTCACTCCAGAATTTAAAATACAATGATCAACCAGGAAAATGAATGTCTGTAAGGAGCCTATCCATCTCTTAGAGATGAAAAGCAGTCTGAGTGAGGCCTTGAGGATCTTAACTGTCCTTGGGTAAGGGGTAAAAAAACCCATGTCAATAACAAACTTCAATTCCCCTACTATACATCACTCATTTTCAAATGAAGTGGAAAGTGGCAAGGAAACTGTTTATCTTCGTGAATCTTAGGCGTCCTGTTCTGATGAAACTTCGGGCCCTATTTTAACATTTACAACATGGGAAGAAGAAATGAAGCTCTATTTTCCTCTCATTTTCCTAGGCCTTCTTCCTCACAATGTGTCGGACATAGCCATCCCTTCTCCTAATGGCAGGAGTATAGTGATCGGGTTGCCAGACCACAGTACTGCCATTCTCCTGTGGGCACATTGGGCTATTTTAAGTAAACTCCATTCTAAGTCATGATTACGTTTAGAGTTGGGTTTAACTTCAGCTCTCCTGACCACATTCCAGCTAAGATAATTATGTTCTGCTTGCCAAAATTCCCCATACAGTTTGAGAGCAAAACAAGCTATCCCTTACACATCTCCTTCCACATTTGTGCCCTTTGTTTTTAAACACCTGTCGCATTTTACTCTGAAGATGGCTGAACTCTAATGCTGTGAAAACAATGCCTGCATTTACAGTTCATAAAACGCTTCAGGATCCTTTGGGATTAAGGACATTAAATGAATGTAAGCTGTAATATTAAAAATACATGCAACTTTATAGTAACAGTTGCCATTGTTTTTGGCACTGTGTAGCACCAGGGGACCCATTGTGTTGGGAATCATAACTGCAGAAGAGAGATGGTTCTCCAAATTGGATCCAGCTGGAAGAAGTGGCCACAGATCCAGCTGCTGCTTCCTGTAACGCAACAAGAGCACAAGCAACTTGGTGGGGTGCTAAAGGGAGGGCTACCACTGCCTCAGCGCCGTGAATAGATCTAGCCTGGTTCCTTCAAAAAAGAGTTCATAATCTAAACTAAAATGCCTGACTCAGCAGGTAGGCAACAGCAGGCAGGTGAAGGCAAGCTATTACAAATAATTTCTCCTGGGGTTTGTAAGTCGCTGGCTGACACTTACAGGAAAGCAGATTGAATTACAACATATTCCACATATTACATCTTGTAATGCAGATAAGATCTCCTCCTCTTCAGTTTGTAGACGAGAGGACCAAGGGTGTGTGTGTGAGATACAATCAAGGTTTATGAAGTCATGAAAACAATAGATAAGCTGAATGTGGAACTGTTCATCACCAAATCTCACAGTATTAGAAGGAGAGGACATTGAAAGTAGTAGTAGATCAGCTTAAAACAGATACAAGAAAGTATTTGTCTACACAGCAGGTAGTGAACTTCTGAAACTTGTTGCCACAGGTGATTGTGAGGGCAGGCAGCCTCAGCGGGTCAGATAAAAAAAAAATGGGCACTAAAGGCAAGAAGCAGAAGTGTGGCCTCTAACATCTCTAATCCAATAAGCATAAATTTGGGGACAGTGAAAGAGAACTTGAAAGTAGGAAATGGCCAGGCTTGCACATTTGCCCTCCTGTCACTGACAGGACTTGATCACTGGGCCAGCTGGACCACAGGTCTGACAAAATAGAGCATTTCTTATGCACTTATGATCAGCATTTGACCACCACTGAAGGGCTTAAGGTATGCCCAAGGACAGGACAGAGCCTCAAAATACTCCAGCATGGTACAAGCTGTAGCATTGATATGCTTAGCCCATTTTTCAAGGAAATTTGGAGGGACTAACATATTCCCCCCACAGCATAAAGTCCATTCTTGTTCAGGTCATGCAAAAGGGAAGAAAGGACCCCTCTTGCCTATTCTTGCTCTCTGTGATGCTAAAAAATATACTGTATAATACGGTGCTATCTCACACATTCTTGAGCATCTCCATTAATACAATGGTGCAATTTCAAGGAGAGATTACTATCTCCTAACTGACACATTTCTTTGTCACTGCAGTATTGTGTTCAGCATTTGAAGGGTGTAATTCAGGCTGCAGGATGGGAGTTATCATCCATGTATTTCTATTACAAGATACTGTAAAGTGTACAAGAATCACTAGAGAATTAAAATAGACCTGTCATTTCCACTCTTTGGTCTACATATACTGGGTTTGATTATCTATCACCAAAAAGGAATTTTAAAATAAGAACACTGTTATCCATCAGTTCTTCTTTTAGCTATTATGCAAAACCAGATCTGCTCATCCTGGGCATTCTGTGCTTTATCTACATCTGTGTAAACCCAAAGGCTCTCCACTAATGTCCAGAGTGAGTTTACATTGCAATTAAGATAAGAACCGGGATCAATAGATCTTCTGCACCCTCTCCTTTCACCCATTGTGGGGTTTTCTTCTCCTTAAAAAGCCTGACATTTACGCTGGCTTTAACCCACCAAGCTCAATCCAACCCCTACAAACATATATCTGTGTATATGTACTCACGCTAGTCTAGCACCGCAGTTTTCGCCTTCAATATCTGCTCCAGGGACGTTGTCTGTGTTCACGGACTCGGTCTCGCTGGTGGGCATGCTCACTGTAAGAGTCAAAGGGAAGAAAAAGAGGAGGTTGGCCATTAGAACCTGGCACATCTATTAATGAATCACATGCGTGAAGGAACTGGCTTAATGAAAAGACCCTCAGCTGCAGCTCCTGAAGATTAAGCAATTTGCTGAGCAACTCTAGTGCCTCCCTGCACAGGCCAGGCTGGGCAGGTAGACTGCAGGAATATACACAGGTTACTCAAATGCTAAAGAAAAGGGAAGAAGCAGCTGCTCTCTTTGTTTCAGAGTCAGTTCCTGGAAATTTTATGAATGAGAACCATTGAAAATTAGAGAACCTGGCAAAGCCAACAAAGAAGCTTTTGCTTGATTCAATGGAACACTGAAAAAAATGCCCCTTTACTTGCACCAGCCCAACCATCTCACTGCCCTCCCCAATCTCTCGTGCGATGAGTAGAGTGCAAATAAAAAGTACCAGATTGACAGGTATTCAGACAAATGGCTTCTGTTAGCCTGATAGCAAGTACCACATAAATAATACTGATGGCTCATCTGTCGTATACTAACCATTAATGTGTTTCAACCTTACATTTATAAACTGGACCTATAGGGATAAGAGGGGAATTCAAACTCTCTGACCCATTCAGATACTACCAACAAAGGAGCTAATGAATACGGACTGTGGTGGAGATTTTATGTTGACACCCACCAACTAGAACTGGACAGAATCTCCTAGGCTTTTACAGAAGTGTCATGGAACAAACATTGAATGAAAGCAACCTTAGGTGTGAACCTATCTCATCTGGATTCAAGGACCTGTCACATCTTCTATCTGTTATCAAACCTCAATATTATATTTGCTTCTACAGATCACAAACAAAAAAAAAAAAATCACAATTTCCATTCCACCAGTTGCTCCCAGCTCCTATATGAGCTCTAATAACTCCTTAATATAATCATTCAACGTAAGTTAGGACAATGGATAGGATCCAATATGTGTCCTCTTCCCTTCTTCCCCCTTTTCAAATACACAAAACAAATGAAAAAAATAATACTGAAAACGGAGTGATGGAGGAGTTAAATGGATCTCTCAGATGCCTGGTAGAACTTCAGAACATGACCTGTATTAGCAGTTGTATATATATATCTCAGATGGGACTTGAAAGCATGCACTATTAGCTTTGGAGAGGCTTCTAACAGCCTGTAAGAATACGTTACTCAATACTAAGAACATATCTATTTGTGGGTCCATGGTGCAAAAGGAGGCAATGTAGAATAAATAGGTTCCACATTTCAATTGGGCAGATGTTTAATGGGCCATGGGACCAGGTCTTCTTTCAGAGGCTAGAAAGATATCAGAAGGTAATTTCAAAGAGGTCCTGGGTTCCTGCTTTGAAAACATTACGGTACAAATGTCCCTCAAAATGAACTATCTTTCCTTCATCCCATCCCAACAATTCACGTGCCTACAACATATGTCTTGGGAAATCTAAAGTTCTTGTGCTGTGTTCTTAGGACCATATGAAATAATGGACTCTCTAGTACTCTTGACATAACTATGAAATATTGTACTCTAATGGTGCCTGTTCCTTTACAAAGACTAGATGTTTTAATAAACTTGTCTGTTTGGAAAGACAAATTAAGGGATCAATTGAATTCATATTTTGATGCACATGAAGGAGTCAAGTAAGCTGTAAGAAAAAACAACATTCATAATTAAAATTTTCGGTCCAGACTAAGTCCTTCAGGCAAAAAAAAACCATTGATATTTTGCAAGTCATCTTTGAAGATGAGGTAAAGCACTTTCAAGACATATTTGAGCTTATTTGCAAATGGAAAACAATTTTGAAGACATTAGCAAGAGATTGATTTGCAGAGCAGCTTATTATCTTGAGTGCATGAAGAGGACAGTGCACAAGCAATAGAAAAAGCAAGGCACGCACATGCAGAAGTATACAAAGCTATATTATATGTCAGTCTGTATAGAGATACATAGACACACACACACACGGATATATGCAGTGTGGACACAGAGTGCAGTGGAACATTACCATGGGTTTCTGTGGAGTGACTAAACCAAGCAAACTTTCCTTTCTTCTTATCAGGCAAGCCAGCTGGAGTGCTTCCTTTCACAGACAAGATGGTCAGTGTCAAGTACCAGGAACAAGACATCAATAGAGAACATGCAGCCAGTGACAGGCAAAAGAAAAAAACAAGGAACTCAGCTTACACATGACATCCACTTCTGTCTGAAAACTTCATCATGTGAATTAAAAGTACAAAATTAAAAACAAAGGTATATGGAAGTATGAAATATTATAACAGATCATCAGAGGATAATTCTTCCTTGCTTTCTGCTTTTTTTATATCTGACTTCTGAGACCGTGAAGTTGAATATAAGTTTATCAGCAAAATCCTTTCTCCAGTGATATCAATGGCAAAATTAATCTTGTTTGACTGCCTGACCTATTGAAATTAATGACGCTAAGGCAATCACAATGTGTCCCCAGGTTATCTCCTGACTCTTAGGGTCAGAATCTGGACTAGCCAATTTTTGAATGAGGTTTCCTTGGCTTTCTTCCTAAACCACTCCAACATCTAGAAACTCTTTCAAAAGCTGCTAAAGGAATGTTGTTGGAGTAATCACATTTCTCTGTCTTTCCCCATCTCTAGAGATTAACAACCTTCATCAAGCACTCAGATGTACACTGCCTTACCAAAACTAGGATACCCGTAGACTGTCTAGATACCCGTCATGATTTTCATTTGAGTTTACATCTGGCACTTGTCCTCTGATGTCTTCCCGCTGCATGGCTTTTCATGGCATTAGTTAATGTTGATCTGCCTATTATGCACAAAGGTCCTCAGCCCACACAGATCAGATGTGCATGCACAGAGAAGTCTTAGAGCGTACTTCACACTTGCCTAATCTTACTGCTGCAGAAAGCCAAATTAAAGTGAGGGATCCAGGTGCAGTGGCACACGAGCTAAGGAGACTCCTGTGGTTCAGGCTAGCTTGCTGGCACTAGATCACAGGCATTCATTACACTGCACTGATGGAAAATGTTAAGGACAATAAAAAGTATTAAGATGGTATCAAGTGTAAGAGGAATGATGGCCTAGAAGTTAAAGGTCAGGACAGACAGGAGATTAGGACCGTATTCCCCAATGTGGTCTGCTCTCAGCAGGGCAATCACTTATTTTATGTGCCAGCTGACATCACCTTCAATATCAGGGGATAATCATGTGTGCAGATGCTGTAAGATTCATTCAGGCCAGTTAACAAATCCTGAAAATAGAAGATGCTGCAGGAGAGGTGTGTATAAACGGGCTGAATATGAGAGGAATTAAATCAAATACTGCCAGGATGGCTTTCTTATCTGACTCAGTTCTCAGAGACACAGACCTTGTGCCCACACCCCGGCTCCAGTCTAGAAACAAAGCAGGCATTTTTTGCAGTCCGGGTAATTAATTACTGGAACCATGTACCAAGAATGCTGGTGGTAAATCCACCACAGGAATGTTTTAATTAGGAAGAGATGTTTTTTCTAAATGGTGGGCTCTAGTCCAGACCAGAGTTATGTTTAGGACCATAGTATACAGACTATGCCATCTCACTGGCCACTTCCTTCTTGCAATTTTGGGAACTGAGACAAAACCAAAAAAGAGGCAAATGCACATTTCCTCGCACCTCGGCACAGAACGACTTAGCAGTGGAAATCTTGGAGCCTCACCTCCAGTGCCATGTGTGTTCAGTGACTTAGGCACTCTTACAGGAGTTGTTCTCGTCAACTTCAAGAAATCCACTGCTTGTAACCAAATCAGAGATCCCCAGGGGGCTCAGTTCTGCCAGATGTAGAGGGCACATTGTCTCTCTGTGGGTCCCCCACCTCCTGGCCTTCAAGCAGACCATTAAACCTTCCATCTACCACATACTTTGCATTGAAGGCGCTTCAGAGTCTAAACTGCAGCATGGGCAAGGCAGCGATCAATCCCTGTGCATACTATTCAACTGCCCACCTAACACCCTAAGGTATTAAGTCAAGCAACTAAATACTGTTGCTGTATATAGGTGACTTCTTGACAGTAGAGAACAACTCTGTCCCCTCACCCCTCCATCCTAAGTGACAGTAGGTTGTTAAAGGGGTGAGAAGGCATCTCCATCAGGCAGTTTGCCTTTGCCGGACTACACCAGGAGCAGCAGTGCAGCTAACAGGGCAATGAGCACACAGAGTGGGCGGCTCGCTTCAACCAAACCAGTGCAGTAAACCACTAACAACACCACAGGGACAGGTCCCATAGAAGATATTACATATTTCACAGAATCATAGAACAGTTTGGGTTGGAAAGGACCTTTAAAGATCATCTAGTCCACCCCTCCTGCCATGGGCAGACATCTGTCACTAGATCAGGTTGCTCAAAGCCCCGTCCAACCTGACCTTGAACACTTCCAGTGATGGGGCATCCACAACTTCTCTGGGCAACCTATTCCAGTATACCTGTTCCCGGGGCAAGTCATGGTGGCTTTGCTTATATGGCAATCTCTCTTTTTTGGATTTATCATCACATCCATAACTCACTCTGGTTGATGAAATCTCCCATTATTTACATATTCTCTGGGTAGCATAGCATAGCAATTTTTTTAAAGGGAAGTGAAACAACTTTTTAAAGGCATGTAAGTATCTCATGGTTTCAACAGAGTGCAAACCATATGGACCAGCAGGTTTTATACCCTCTCTACAGTTGCTTCTGAAGCCTTTGCACTTCTTGTATCTTACCACAGTGTGGCTCATCTCTGAATGTAGACTTTTTCTCCTGGACTACATAAATTTCACATTACTTACATAGCAGCAGCAACTAAAGCAACAACAAAAGCTATGCAGTAGCTTCCTTAAAAATAAATCTAAGAAATTCTTCATGTTAATTCTATCACTGAGACCCAACAGACAGAAATAAGGACAAAGAGTCTGCAGTCTGTGACTGGCTAGACAGACAGATGTGCAAGACACTTCGAGAGCCTCTGTTCCATG